CCCTGGGATTATGACCTGAGTTGAAGGTAGATGCCTAACAACTGAGCCACCCAGGTGCCCCTAGATTCCTTTTTTTTAAAAGTGATGCATATTCATTGCATGGGTGTATACTTACTTAACCAGGTCCAAATTGATGGATACTTGGGCTATTTATAGTCATTTGCTATTATGAACTGTGCTACAATGAATAATCTTACATACTTATTATTTTGTATGTTTTAGGGTATAGTTGTAAGATCAGCCAAAATGGGGTTTTTGAATCAAAGGATATATTGCCAAATTACCTTCCATAACAAGGGTATGAAAGTGCCTGTTCTCCAGTCTTGACAACAGTGTGTGCTTGTGGATTTTGTGCATCTTCTGGGTGAGAATGGTACTTTAGTAGTTTGTTTCCTTAATATGAATAAGGCTAAACATCTTTTGACTTGTTTTAAAATGTTCATTTTGGCTGCTGTGTTGACAACAGGCAACATAGTTGAGGGACAAGGTGAGAAGCAAGTTTTGTGAAATACTATTGCTCTGGAGCACTTAAACAGTTACCAATTGAGGAGAAACCACTTTAAAAATAGGGAGTGATCTAACTATGTCATGGTGCAGATAGGTCAGAAAAGCTGAGGGCAAAGACGTGGCCAGCCTTTAGAAACTTGGGATGTCTTTTTTTTTTTTTTTTAAGATTTTATTTATTCATTCGAGACACAGAGATCGAGCGAGCGAGCGTGAGCAGGGGGAGAGGCAGAGGGAGAAGCAGCCTCCCCGCCGAGCCAAGAGCCGGACATGGGGCTCGATCTCAGGACCCTGGAATCATGACCCGAGCCGAAGGCAGATGCTTAACCATCTGAGCCACCCAGGCACCCCGAAACTTGGGATGTCTTAAGAACACAGTAAAACAGTGAGATGAAGTTTGATTGGACTGGATATAAGGATTAAACACAGCAAAGATAGCTCTTTGAAAGAATTTTGAGTCAAAGGGTAAATATATTGTCCTATAAAGGGAAACGGAGCTGGAGAAGGATGTGTAAAAGAGGGCTTTTTTAAGCGAGAGCTAGTGTTTGTATGCTCATGGAATGATTCGATAGAGAGGAGAAAATTGATGGGGAGGGGAATAATTGCTGGAGTGACAGTCTTGTCTAGGACAGAGGATGGGTTCTAGAAGATGGTAGGTTGTTAGATGTGGTGGTGGATGGAGGTGAAAGTTTAAATTGCTTCTGTTTTCTTACTGAAATAGTATGGACATCAGCTGAGAGTAAGGGGGGAAAGAAGAGATGTTGGAGGTTGAAGAGGGTCAAGGTAGGAGCTGTTAATATATTTGCTGGAGAACACCAGCTCACTTAAAGTCACTGGTTATTGAATTGGGACCAGCCAGGAGGGCTGTTTTTTTCCCCTCCATCCATGTTCAGTAGGTGGTGTAGGCACAGTCCAATTAAGAGTTAAATTTAAGGTGGGGGGTTGGCCAGGTGAATATAATGGGATGATGATGTCAAGGTAGTAAAAGAATCTAAACTGGGCCAAGAACTGAGGACAGGAGGAGGGTTGAAGGACAGTGATCAAGGTAAGAGAGACAGTGGGTTGTAGGTCCTTCTGGTGTTGAGGATTGTTGTAGTCAGGGTGTTAGGCATGAACTAGGAAGGTACGGGTGGGAGTGGGATTCCTGGAATTGGGACTATAGAGGGGAACAATTACAATGGCAGGAGTAGGATGTGTTCATGGGAGTGAATGGCCGAAGAAGTCAGGAGGACGATTAAGGCTATTTGGGAAGGGTCATCCATATGGTTAGTGAAGTCACTAGGACTTAACGATAGAAATAGTGTGGGAGTGACCATGAGCCAGGTCTGTAATGAGTAGCAACAGGGTGGGGGTGGGAAACAGGTAGTAGGTAGTACAGACTAATAGTACCAGCCTTCAGTTTTAGGGTTCTTAGAGGACATTATTGGAGGCAGCACCGAGGGGCAAGGATACACCTTAACATCCCCTGTGCCCACTGTGGTAGTGAGTACTACAGAGCTGAGCCAGTTTCAGCTAGGAAAGATGAAGAGAACATCCAAAGCAGAGATGGGGACACAAGAAGGGGATTTTGTTAAAGTCTAGGGGCAACATGGAACAGTTTCTGCAACTGGATCAGACTAGGTGATAACATGTGAAGATGAAAATGTGGGTGATGAATGACAGGAGGACCTGAAGGGATAGATCCTGTTGAGAAATGAAGGAATATGAGACTTGCCAAGAAAACCAGAGCTCTGGGGCCTGTTCCATCCTACCTAGGAGGCATGGTCTAACTGGAGCACGGAGAGCTCCGTTTTAAGGCAGGAACACAGCAATGGCTTAAATGTCCTAGTTCAAAGCTGCTCCTCAGAGATGCCTTCTCTTAAAACTCTTACTGCCCTTCTTCTACTTTCCATGATCTTGTTTTGTCTTTATACAGTCAAGGGTCTGAAAATTGGATACTCTCTCTCCTCCAGACCTCCCCTTGTCCTGGACTTTGACGGCCTTGTAACTGCCATATTCTGGGGGCCTGAAACTGCATGGTGTGCAGTAAGCACTCAGCTTAAGGGAATGTGACTGCCTTACTTTTTTTTTTTTTTTTAGATTTTTATTTTTATTTTTGACAGAGAGAGACACAGCGAGAGAGGGAACACAAGCAGGGGGAGTGGGAGAGGGAGAAGCAGGCTTCCCGCTGAGCGGGGAGCCCGATGCGGGGCTCGATCCCAGGACCCTGGGACCATGACCTGAGCTAAAGGCAGACGCTTAACCGACTGAGCCACCCAGGCGCCCCGACTGCCTTACATTTAGTGTAAAATACTCCTCTGGGTCCATACATTCAACAAATGTTTAGTGCTTGCATCAGGCACTGGTCTATGATCAGGAATAATGTGAACAGACTGGAGTGACTTCACTTACTGATCATTTAAAATGTTTCCTAGTTAACAAGCTGTATAGCATCTGCATTTTTAACAAAAATGCATTCAGGAAGAATGAAGTTATAACTCAGGTCACATCTGAGGATCAGTTCTGAAGCAGCAGTTCTATTCAAAAGGACAGTTTTCTTGATTTTTTTATTTTGCCTAGGAACTAATGTTGGCAAAGTGTCATCTTTTTTATTTTCCTTTCAGGTAGCAATTGTCGTATTAGGAAACAAAATTGACCTTTCTGAGCAGAGACAAGTGGATGCTGAGGTGGCACAGCAATGGGCAAGAAGTGAGAAAGTACGCCTGTGGGAGGTAACGGTTACAGATCGGAGAACTCTGATTGAGCCATTCACTCTCTTAGCCAGCAAACTTTCCCAGCCCCAGAGCAAATCGAGCTTTCCTTTGCCTGGGAGGAAAAACAAAGGGAACTCTAGCTCTGAGAACTAAAAATCAGTAATGCTACAACTGTCTGTTGAATAGATTGCCTTTAGGTGTCCATGAGCATATTTAAAACAAGGCATTTGCATCTACCTTTGGTCCTTAGGAAGCCTTTAAGGAAGTAATGTACTTTATAATTAAATTATTTGGGCTAAGTTTATTGCCTGATATGAAGTGATTATTTGCATTGTCATTGTTTGAAACTTGTCCCTGAACTTGGCACCTAAATTTTTGTTGCATTTGTCCAAAGAGTAAAATAAAGTTTGGGTAGTATGTAGATATGTCTGTAAGACCAGTAGCTCCACAACCCCCAACTTGTTTCAGAAGCCATTTTTCTGTGTAACTTTATGCAAACTTCTCAGCTCAAATATAATTTTTTTAAGAAGTTCATTAATCATCTAATGTCCAGAATTATAAAATGACATTTTTAGATCACAAACGGTAAACAATTTAGGTGTTAAATTTTATCTCATGGAGACCTTGCTAAATAGAACAAAACCTATGATTTAACTTTGTTCAAATTATGTTTAGCATGACTTGAGGTAGTAGGTGGTGTAAATATGTTCAAAGCATTTGCTCTTTAGAAAACCACTAAGTATTGAAGGACACTAAAGCTTCCATTTCCACAAGTATTACTATACCTTCTTCAACAGTTTTCTGGATACACAGTCATGTGGAATAAAATGTATCATAAAAATATTGGACTTCAGGTTAGATACTGGAGTTTGTGCTATGGTATTCTTTGAAGATTTTGGCAATATCCGAGCAGTGGGACTAACTGTATTTCACAAGCTGACGATACTGTAACTAATTTTAGAAGTAGGAAGCAAGCTACTTAGTATTTCAACTGGCAAAGCAGTTTTTTGTTTTTAGAAGTGGGGGCATGGAGCAGAGGGAAAGTGAAAGAATCTTAAGCAGGTTCTGTGGCTGGATCTCACAACCGTGAGATCATGACCTGAGCCACAATCAAGAATCGGATGCTTCACCACCTGAGCCACCCCTCAGCTATTTGATCTATATGTAAAATATGAAATAAGCTGTTCAGCAAAGACATGTTAAAAAAAAACTAGTACACTTTTTTAAGTAAACTCTACCCATGGGGCTCAAAGTCAGGACCCCAAGATTAAGAGTCTCTACCAACATTTCTGAAGTGGAGTACTTTCAAGGCTAGGTTCAGTGAATTTAAAGTCAATTGGTTCATTTCTGTGAGAGTTCAAACCAAGAACTGCATAATACAAAACCTGCAAATCAGCTAGTGTTGCTTCCATTTAACTGGCTAAAATTCCTCATCACAAATACATTTTTTTGCCAAAAAACTATTCAGATAATGGCTAAGTCATGCCCTGAGGTTGATCTCGGTTTCTTTCCTATTATTTTTACAGAGATGAATAAATACAGTGATTTAATAAGAAAGTTTCTCTGGGGTAGATGCAAAGCAACAGAACTGCTGGATATATGTACATTTAGGTACTGCCAAATTGCCCTCTCAGGGAGATGTATTAATAGTCATGAGAATCCATCTTTAAGACACCTCAAAAACGGAATAGCATACCAAACCTAACCTAGTCTGTACTACTTGTAGGTTGTGTAGTAGCAAAACTTTAGAAGAATCTGCAAACTACAAACACAGGCAAAAGAAAGTAAATGAATACAGCAGTGTTAGGTGGTTGTTTTAATATTGTTTATTAGCACAGTAACAAATGCAGACTTAAGTAGTCCACAACATATAACCAATCCACTGAGCAACTCCTATTCCACACCTTACAGTTAACAGCTTAAGGTATTTTACTACAGGTTTTCACAAGTCGTGATTCAAACCTCTTGTCACAATAAAGTAGATTGGCATATAAAATAAAATACATAACTACTCATTTCCTATATGGTGTCTTATAGCCACGTATCCATTTTATATATATGAGATGACAGTCTCTAAAAACTGTTAAATATCAATGTTCCCTCCCAAGAAGGGAAAACAAATTCCAATTTTTTTGAAAAAAAAAAAAAAAAAAAAAAAGTGTAGTCTTGGAAGGACTTTACATAAATGGCCATGTGTGTAACCTGTACAAAATTAATCTATTTTAAATTTACAGACTACAAGCAACTGAACCCAAATGTCTATTCTCTGTACTACATTTCAGCTAATATTGCAGAACTAATGACAGTTTTAAAAGTTGCTATTACCAATTCTGTCTACTGTAGCAAGATACCTTAAGTTACAACAAAATCTTAGGAAATAAGACTGAATAATATCTGTTATAGAAATACCCTACTCTTTACCAACTCCCACCCTCCCCCACCCCTTCAAAATCATAAGCAGCTCTCTGTGACAGACAATGTAAGAATTGTGAAAACCCAATTTATGTAGCGTATCTCTTGGTCCACTGTCTGGCCATTCTGTCATGTTCTGCTCTGTTGGTCATATACTGAGTGGCAATACTTCCCACCAAAGGGTCAGCTGGAAGAAGAGAATGTTTCAAATTTTAGCACATAAATCAGTGACAGCTTGGAAACAAATATGCAAAGTATTTGTGATCAAAACCAGTTTTGAAACACCGTTCCATCATCGTGGCCACCATATGCATGGGGAAAACTTCTTAAAACAAAATGCTCAGGCTTTAGTACTAGTGTAGCTTTATCGTTCATTCTATTTTTCTCCCAACAAACACCACCCAATTGGAAGTATTTTTGCTCTTATGTGTTAGGTAAAGTTCAATAAAAACTGGAATGTTCAAGGCTACGATGAACATGGAATCCAACTGTGTTCACATGACTGTTCAGTGGAACACTGTAAAGTCCTCTAGGCTGTTCCAGTATTGACCTCTAAACTAGTTACTTAGAAAAAGCCAGGTTACTAGGTCAAAACCTGGACCTCAACAATTAAGTAGAGTGTTGCTCCGAAACCTAAACAGAATCTTTAATAATAAAAGGAATAAGCTTCCCCCCAGACCCCACCGCAATCAGTCTGATAATCCCTAAGTATTATCTCACTTTCAAAATTTAACACCAGCTTTGGGGCAAGTACTCAGTGAACCAGCAGGCACAGGAGAGGTTAGGCAGATGACTCAACATTTAGTTAGAAATACGTGGTTTAAAGAGAACTGTATGAAAAATGTGAAAACCTAAGGCAGATTTATAGAAGTCCTAGTTTTAAAACATCTTGTTCCTAGAGCACAGAATTACTGCCTTTTTCAACTAGTAGATTGAACTTCTCGATTAAAACTTTCTTTGAAAAAAGATTAGTTTTTGTCTTTTTTTTTTTTTTTAAGATTTATTTTTTCATTTGAGAAAAAGAACATGAGCAGGAGGGGCAGAGGGAGAAAGAATCCTAAGCAGGGCCCAACACGGCCTAATCCCACAACCTGAGCTGAAAACCAAGAGTCGGACACCCAACCGACTACATGTACATCCAGGTACCCCTACTTTTTGTTCTTTCAAAGCTCTTTGTACTTTATCAAAACAAGTATTTTTCAGGTGAGGAGAAAGAAGGAAAAAAAAAATTAACCTTACCAGGATTACAGTCTGTAAGAAGGGAGCAGATAGAAAGGAGAACTTTAGAAATGGTTAGTGCTGGACTCCAATTATCTTTTAATATGTCCAAGCAAATAACTCCTTGACTGTTAATATTACAGTGATAGATTCTTGTCCGAAATGTAACCTAAAAAAATAAGACAGTATTAAAATTTAAACAGGAAACAATAAAATTTTTCCTAAATTGCTTTTTCAATTGAGTGGCTATAATTTAAAAATGTCTGTTTCTTTAAAAGATGAATAAAGAGTTTAAAGCTGATAAGAGAGGTTAACATACACTCTCAGTCATTTCAATGGTAATATCCATCAACAAAAAGCATGGTAACTTCAGTTTTTTCTCAAATTCATCTTTAGTAGTTTCAGTGTTTTAAATATTTTTAAGTTTGAAATAGCTAAGTGTTTGCTGACCTCTTGTGTTAGCTGGTGGTACTACATGGCCTTAAAGTAAGCTTTATAATAAATTCAAACAGATACAACACAGTGGGTACATAAACAAAAGCAAAATGCTCAGCTGTAAAGGCTGAAAAAAAAAAAAGACGACGACGAGATTTGGTTCTGCTTTTTCTGACTTTTACATTAGATCCTGCAGATATCCCGTCTACGTAGGTCACAGAGTCACTAAAATGGAGTTCCACAAGTGAGGAGCCAGAAATGGGTAAGGATCATAGCAGTAGACAAATTAACACAAGCCATATAAGCCTGTTGCTTTATTCTGGTTTCCTAATTCTTATTTGTGAGACACAAAGAATCATTCAGAAGTAAAAATTACCACTTAGTAAATAAGAATCATAGATTGAGTGTCCCAGGAGATACTACCCTAGATAAGAAAACCCAAAGCCTGGAGGTTAAAAATTTGAGTAAGACCAAAACGTGACAAGGAGCAGAATCCAAAAGTCTTTGGTAGGAGATTCTGACTTTCTAATTACTTTAGTGCACAGATATTTTGACACCATTTTTAACTGTTCAGTAACTTCTTCCCTGTGAGTGGAAAATAGGGGATTGATTCTGGGTTGCTATGTTACTAAAAATAGCAGGATTTTAAGCACCATCAAAACAAAGCACATACTCCTAAGAACTATGGTCTCTGCAAGAGGCAAAGCCCCCTCCCCCCATGCAAGTGTTTTGTGTCCATCCAAATGTACTTAGAGATTCGTTAAGATATAACAGAAATCTACCTTTTGTGATTAAAACTCTATTTTAAAAGCTTCAACAGTCTCTCATGGCAATATGTAAATCTGACTATAAATCAGGAAATTCTTACCTTTGGAGGCTTGAAGGGGTATTCTGGTGTAAAAGTGATATCAAGGAAGAATACACCACCCTCATACACGGATCCTGGAGGCCCCAGAATGGTTGATCGCCATTCATAGATGTTATCACCTTTGGGACCAGCACTGTGAAGTAATACATCAAAAGGTAAGCAGATGGTGGCACCATGCCAAGTTTTTACAGGGCATTAAAAAAAAAGGAAAAAAGATGATCTCTCCTCCCTTTTTGTTTAATGTGTGGATTCTTTCCACAAAACAGAAGAGTCTTTCAGACTCAATCTGATTCTGGACTGCAACAAACCCATCAGCCTTAAGTCAAGTAAACTGAATGATAAAGAATGTTTAAACCACTCTAAGCCTACTTAAGCTGTGAACAAGCAAGAAATTGAATGCTCAAACCTCTCCTCGATTATAAGAAAATGTAAATATTCAGTGGTTTTGCTCACAACTATTCATTTCTGATGACCATTTTAAGAACAAAGTTTCATTTCTGACTCACTGGGGTTCTTGTTCCTTGTTCTTCTATTTCCATAATCTTATCCTAAAAGGAGCCCAATGGATTACATACTTTTTACATTACAAACCATGTTGGGTGGGAGGAGCACAAGGATGACAGAGTATCCAATGGCAAGTTATTCAATTTGCCTTTCAATGTATAAAATGCTATAATCAAGTTCTCTAAAAATTACAGTTGGGATGTTCATTTATCCCTTTCCCTGTTAAATCACTTTTATATTTAGTTATACCATAATACCCTTCCAAAGCATTGTGTTGGCTTGTAGAGTGTTCTGTATCCAAGTACAATAAGAAAAACAGAAAAATATTTACCCTCCAATTCCAAGACCAATGAAGAACTTAATATAACCTGCCCAAACAACTAAGTGTGGGTAGGACTCTGGTATTGAGGAGAGAGGAAAAGATACTAATTTTAGGTACTAATTTTAAAAAGACTTCCCAGAGCATGGACATAACAGTATTCAATTGGTTAACTTACACGTTTTAGCTGAGATTTCTCAAACCTAGCTACAACAGTTGCTTCAAGGATAATGATGTGTGTCAGCCAAACAACAGAAAGGTCTTTACTTGGAGAGACTTGTATATCCCAGTCAATACACAGGATAATTTGTACAGAGCAGGCAAACTGCTATTTTAAATGAATGGATGGTATGAACTGGATTCATTCACTCATTCTTATTAAATGCCCAAGTAGGCCAAGTTAAATGGCAGAGATTTCAATAATGAACAAGACAAAAACTCCTTGTCTTCAAGACGCCCTCTGCTAACTGGCTAGAGATGAGGTTCATTCAATTCCTTCATTTAAGAGAAAGATTAGAGGAAGAGGAAGGGAAAGGGGAAAAAAAATAAAAAGATACCTGCCTGTGGCCTTATACTTTCCACAAACCCACCACATTTTTTTTTCTTTCAGAATGAGTTTACAAAAGAAAACCAGAAAGAAACAGAAGTTGGGGAAGAAAACATGATGTGGCAAAAAAGGAGAGAAAAAATACAGATAGAAGAACATGGGCTAATGGGAAGAGTAGGCCCAAACTGGCCAAAAGGCACAGAGCTTGGACGCTGACTTGAGCACTTACTTACTAGCTATGTGACCTTGAGCAAGTCACTAAACCTAAACCACAAATTCTCAGGAATGTTTTGATCATTAAAATGGTGCAGGGAGGGAGGGGGCGGGGGGGAGAATCTCTGTAGAGAAACAGACCCACAGTAGTCTCATTATTTATTTTTTTTATTCTTATGTTAATCCCCATACATCATTAATTTTAGATGAAGTATTCCATGATTCATTGTTTGTGCATCACACCCAGTGCTCCATGCAGAATGTGCCCTCCTCAATACCCACCACCAGGCTAACCCATCCTCCCACCCCCCTCCCCTCTAGAACCCTCAGTTTGTTTTTCAGAGTCCATCGTCTCTCATGGTTCGTCTACCCCGCACAGTAGTCTCATTAAATGGTAGTATCACAGTTATGAATTATTCCTACTGATTTCAAATAGTATGGGTCCTTTAATATCCTTGTGATTGGTATTCTAAAGAACGTTTTTTTTAAGATTTTATTTATTCATTTGAGACAGAGAGAGAGCAAGCAGTGGGGAGAGGCAGAGGGAGAGGGAGAAGCAGGCTCCCCGCTGAGCCAGGAGCCCAATGTGGGGCTCGATCCCAGGACCCTGGGATCACGACCCGAGCTGAAGGCAGACGCTTAACAATCTGAGCCACCCAGGCGCCCCTCAAGAACTATTTAAAAACTTGTTTTGGAATGGATATATATGGAAAGAGATTATTTCACATGGTCTCTAATATGAAGTCCTGGGTTTTTGTTGTTGTTTAGTTTTAAGATCACTTCCTACTTTTATATATCATCTGACCATAATTTTCACAAGGTGGGATGTAGGGAGAACTTTTAAATCAGCCCTCTACTTCTAGGAACATGCGGTAACCTCTAGTGAAAGGATACTATGCTGATTACAGCTTCATGCCCTGAGGTTAAAACTGGTCTTTGGTCATCTGGTCTGCCTACATATTTGCATCCAGTGTATGTTCTTGGGCAAAAAGTCTATAGACAACTGGGCATTACAGCTAGGACACCTGTTGACCAGACTAGAGTTAACTGAAAAGTGGACTAATGAGGTGAGGACACCACTGATACAGAGGTTGCAGATAACATAACTACCCTATTTAATCTAGTTAATGATATCTAGGGCTTAAAGGCTAAAAGGCAAAGACAATCATCTGCTGTAAACCTCTCTTTTTACAGATGAGGAACCCAGGCCTGAAGGAGAAGCTAGGCCATCTAAAAGCCAGTAATGGCAGCATTCCATACAGTTTTCCTCAGTCAGCTTGGTAATGCTAAGAAAGAGACCCAGAAAAAACTAGCAGTAAAGTCAGTCTCACCCTAGAGGCGACATGTTGACATGGGCCCAATTCTGCTGACCTCTTAGTACAGAAAACAGAACAAAGGTTTAACAATATAGCACTATAAGCAGCTTTTATGGATTGTACAGAAAATTGTAATTTCCGAACTTCATTGTTCCTCAACATAACCTATGGAACTTTCAAGATTCCTGACCCCTCATCCTAGGCCTGCTGAATTTAGAATATTCAGAAGGGACTTAAGAATCTATGGTGATCTTTAAACAGGTCTTGGTTGCTTTTGGGAATCACTGGTACAGGATACTGGAGGACAACCAGTTTAGAACATAAGCTTTAACATTACAGCTCATCACCTATGATATAACTGGATATTCAAATCAAGGTGGCTACTTGTGTGTAATCAGCTTTCAGTTTGGGTATAAACTTTTCGGAAAGTTCAGGAAAAAAGAAAAGGGCATTAAGGAATCAAGTATGCAACATAAACATAATAAAAAAATACCATGCTTCTGTCAAACTTTGAAAATGCAGAATAAAGGTGGGTTATATTAAGAAAAATAATACTAAGTGAAATAATATCAAATGCAGTTGAAATCCTAAAGCATGCAACAGGAGCCCTAGAGAAAACTAAACAGCATGGATCCCTAATCTGTGGATCCTCAACCAGGGGACTTGGGAGTTACAGGGAAGGATCTGAGAACCCACTGGAAGGACCAAGCATTGCTGCTTGAATAAAAACTTTACTCACTTTAAAGCTGTTACTGGAGAAATTCATATAACATTTTGTCATATGCATTTTATTAATCACAGAATGAAACAAAAATTACAGTCCTGCAAATCTTTTGCCTTTTTTTTCTTCCAGGTTCTCACTGTAAAGTTAGGATCTACTGATCTAGAAGGTGGGTAGAGAGACCTATGGGGAGGAAGGGGTGAGGGCCCAAGTTTACAACTCTGGGAAGGCCACTGCGAAGGAGAACGAGGAACAAGAGAATCTTTACGTGCAACACTACAGGGAAAGGTCTGTTCCAGCACCCCACCCTCTTCTCTATAAAATGACTAACTAGGTTTACCCTCAGGTCAGCATATTCCTTTACCAGCCTTCTGTCCCCACCCTTTAAGATACGTTTTAGTTCCACAATAAGAACTTACAGAAATGTACTTTAGAATGGCATGTGATTTAAATTAGTAATTAATTTAAGTGATTAGAAAGTATGAGAGATGGGGGAGTTTAAATTAAGGGAATATGGGAACAAAAAAAATACACATCCCTGTTTGAAGATGTTGCAACATAACTGTGATTAGAATCTTGGCATGAGGCTGAGACTGAGAAGGTGGAAGGAGACCATGCCTTTGCCTTTCAGATTTTGTTAGACTTAAAACACCTCTCAAAATAAATGTATAATACACAGAACTCTTACACAAGTCAAAAAAAAAAAAAAATTCTGCCCTTGATTCAGTCTTTTTTCCTTCTAGTCAAAATAAATAGAGCTGTGGCAAACATTTTAAGAAAAATAACAGTCAAGGGCACCTGGCTGGCTCAGTTCTTAGAACATGTGACTTTAAGATTTTATTTTTTGAGAGAGAATGAGAGAGCATGAGAGGGGGGAGGGTCCCAGGCAGAAGCAGACACCTCACTGAGCAGGGAGCTGGACGTGGGACTTGATCCCATGACTCCAGGATCATGACCCAAGCCACCCAACCAACTGAGCCACCCAGGCACCCGAGCATGTAACTCTTGGTCTTGGGGTTTTGAGTACAAGCTCCACACTGGGCATAGAGCTTACTTTAAAAAAAAAAAAAAAAAAGTCATTTCTACTTTTGACACAATATTTTCTTCTGTAATGGTTTCTGACTTCAGAGAGATACATTAACATTAGCAGCAGGGACTGTCATGAACCACAACATTCTTCTGAAGGAAGGTCTGCCTGTTGACTGATCAGCACCAAACTCAATGACAAGGACTCTTCCTCCACCAGCCTTTCCCTTAATGCTCAAAACCCGTTTCCTCCAGTAACCATGGGACAAGGCGGCTACACGTCATACTTCTTACTGCCTTATTAATACTATATTGGTAATTAAATAGAATTTGAACAGTATAAAATATAATCAACACAGTCATTTAAGGTATAATCTTAAGAAATAAAACCAATTAGGAAAACTGTCATTAGAGCGGTCTTATTACAGAATTTGATGGGCTCTCTAGATTGACTTGAAAAAAAAATTTTTTTTTTTTTTTAAGATTTTATTTGAGAGAGCGAGCACATGAGGGGGGAGGGTCAGAGGGAGAAGCAGGCTTCCTGCTGAGCAGGGAGCCCGATGTGGGACTCGATCCTGGGACTGGATCATGGACCTGAGCCAAAAGCAGTTGCTTAACCAACTGGGCCACCCAGGTGCCCCTGACTTGAAAATTACGATAATTACATAAGGTAGTGTTTAAGCTTCATTCTGTTTTAAAATCATGTTTTTGTAAGTCCTCCCCAACTCCCATCCTCAATACTAACTTACTATAGACTACTGTTCTTCCATTTCAACAGCAACCAAAGATGGATTTCAATTTTTAAAGAACATCCTGGAAGCAAGGTGAAATTATACTCAGTGTTTGTAGATTATATTTCTATCTGATCAATTTTTAACATTTTTATTGGGAGAGATGACCCTTGCATACAAACACAGAAACCCTAATTCAGGGATTATTTTAGGCATAAGTCTAAAAAGCTTAGGTATGTGGCCTCATATCCTAGGGAAAAAAGTTGAGGGTAAAGGCTGGGAAGATGAAAAGAAACATGCTACAGACAAGCATATGGATAGCAACAGCACAAAGTAAGTGAAAAATGGGGCAAGTTAGCAAATGCGCCAGCATATTTCAAAAAAGGGTAGAGGCTCATGATCAGCTGAGTTAAAAGCTCATTCTACCCACCTAAAAATCCCAAGTAATCTCTCAAACCAGTTGCTTATACAAAATGTATTATGTCATAAAAACCTCCAACTCCCAGGGCGCCTGGGTGGCTCAGATGGTTGAGCGTCTGCCTTCGGCTCAGGTCATGATCCCGGGGTCCTGGGATCGAGTCCCGCATCGGGCTCCCGGCTCAGCGGGGAGCCTGCTTCTCCCTCTGACCCTCTCCCCTCTCATGCTGTTTCTCTCTCGCTTGCTCTCTAAAAAATAAATAAATAAAAATCTTAAAAAAAAAAAAAAAAAAAACCTCCAACTCCCACATGCTCACTGCTTTAGAGCAGTAGTTCTCAATAAAGGGTGGTTTTGCCCCCCAGGTGACATCTGGCAATGTTTGAAAATATTTTGGGATGTCACAACTAGGAAGGAGCTGTCACCTAGTGGGTAGAGGCCAGGGGTGCTGCTAAACATTCTCCAATGCACCAGGCACCAGATAGCTCCCTACAACAAAGAATTCTCTCAAGGGCCGCCTGGGTGGCTCAGTTGGTTGAAGTGTCTGACTTTGGCTTGGGTCATGATCCCAGGGTCCTGGGATTGAGCTCCACATCAGGCTCCCTGCTCAGCGGGGAGCCTGCTGCTCCCTCTACCTGACGCTCCCCCTGCTTGTGCTTTCTCTCTGTGTCAAATAATAAAATCTTAAAAAAAAAAAATTCTCTCAACCCAAAATGTCAATAGTGCCAAGGCTGAAAATCCTGCTTAGAGAAATGTACTCAAGGTTGAGCTAATATAGGTTAAGAGCTTCATAGTTTGAATCCTTGTTGTCAGACTCTAGTGCCCATCCTCATCTTTGTTTTACTGCTGTGTGTGGTACAGAAAAAAAAAACATTCAATGTCCAGGGTTGTTGTTATTAAAAGTTAGACTGGGGCGCCTGGGTGGCTCAGTTGGTTAAGCGACTGCCTTCGGCTCAGGTCATGATCCTGGAGTCCCGGGATCGAGTCCCGCATCGGGCTCCCTGCTCAGCGGGGAGTCTGCTTCTCCCTCTGACCCTCCCGCCTCTCATATGCTCTCTCTCTCTCATTCTCTCTCTCTCAAATAAATAAATAAAATCTTTAAAAAAAAAAAAAGTTAGATTGGCATGTGCCCTAAATGTTCTATAGACCCCTGATACTCAAAATGTGGTCCCTGGACAAAGCAACATCAGCATCATCTGGGAGTTTGTTAGAAATGCAGACTTCAACTCCACCCCACACCTAATGCATCAGAATTTGCACATTCAAAGTTTGAGAATCTGGGGCACCTAGGTGGCTCAGTCGTTAAGCGTCTGCCTTCTGCTCAGGTCATGATCCCAAAGTCCTGGGATCGAGCCCCACATCGGGCTCCCTGCTCCGCGGGAAGCCTGCTTCTCCCTCTCCCACTCCCCTGCTTGTGTGCCCTCTCTCACGCCCTCACTCTCTCTGTCAAATAAATAAAAATCTTAAAAAAAAAAAAAAAGTCTGAGAATCTGTTCCTGCTCTCGCTCTGTCAAATAAATAAAAGCTTAGGGTGCCTGGGTGGCTCAGTTGGTTAAGCGACTGCCTTTGGCTCAGGTCATGATCCTGGAGTCCCTGGATCGAGTCCCACATCGGGCTCTCTGCTCGGCAGGGAGCCTGCTTCTCCCTCTGACCCTCTCCCCTCTCATGTGCTCTCTCTCATTCTCTCTGTCTCAAATAAATAAACAAAATCTTTAAAATAAATAAATAAATAAATAAATAAAAAATAAAAGCTTAAAAAAAGCCGGGGGGGGGGGGGGCACGCCTGGGTGGGTCAGTCGTTATAACGTCTGTCTTCTGCTCAGGTCATGATCCCAGGGTCCTGGGATCGAGCCCCTCATCGGGCTCCCTGCTCAGCAGGAAGCCTGCTTCTCCCTCTCCCACTCCCCATGCTTGTGTTCCTGATCTTGCTCTCTCTCTGTGTCAAATAAATAAAATCTTTAAAAAAAAAAAATAAAAGTTTGAGAATCCAGCTACAGCGGACATTAAGTGGCAAATAAATGCCAACTCTACCTTCTAATCATCTAGGCTTAATTTTACCGTTTATATTCTCTAGCTCTCTCCTCCACTACCTATAATTCTCTGCAGTAAGAAGTATCAACCCTGGTAATGCTTACTAAATACCATATAGAGAACTTAGAAAATGCTTTTATAGGAAGAGACCCACAATCAATTCTATATTCCCTACAACCCACTACTCAAAATCCATTCTTAATTTACTCTTCTTTTCCTAAGACATTCAAAGAGAATAGGACAGAATAGTATAAATGCAGCAATCTACCAGAGGGAATCCTCTTCTCCCACAATCATCTCCCAATAGACATACTCTCCAGGGAATGAAAGCTGCCTTCTCCATGACATCTACATAGCACATGCAGAGGAATTTTATAAAAAATAAAAACAAAAAGCTGCTTATCCTCACCTTCCCTTCATAAAACAGTTGCCATTTGTAACCCAGAAGTGAGTGGCAGAAGGAACTTGAAAAATCAGAAAAAACCTCAGTAAGGTGACTAACACACTAGTGGCTTGGTGAGGTGACATTGCTATTAAAAAGTGGGTTGGTCACTTTCTAATAACTAAGAGAGGCCTCCTCCTACAAGGTGGTACTGCTGGGGATGTACCATCCAGGTTATCATTCCCTGGGAATAACTTAACAGTTCAAAAGCCAACCTAAAGGACCCCTACATAAGAATTCAGATCAGTGGTATCCAGCATATCTAAGCAGTTGCACTGGAACGAAGTGGGCCCAAATAGGGGGTTACAGTTTCCTACACATGGGAAGAAAACGGACTCAGACACTTAAGATCTAGAACAACATGATCCACGTCCACTAACAATGGTGTTCCCATGGAGCCCCCCCAAATTGTGTCATAAACATTGAGGAAACGGTGCCTTTCCTCCAGCAGAAAGGGGATAAACCTTCAAAGGAATTTGATAAAACTTTTCATAAAGCACAAGGCTGATTTTAGGCCTATGGAAACTGTAGAGTTCATTTTTGAAATCTGTTCCAAACCAGAAAGTAGACAGATTGGTAGGTATTTACACACTACTGCAGACATGTGTATTTAACAATCTCTCTTAGATCAGATTTTAAGTCTCTAGAGAACAGTAATTTTCCACACATACTACAGGGCTTAGTATAGTAGTAATTAACAATATTTAATTAGCTGGCAAAATATGTACCACTGTTCAGAATTACATGACAATATTTCCAAATGAGGTGAAATAACAAAACACCGCAAAGGCTCAATCTTGCTCAGCTAGCCATTCAATTGTAGTTTTACCTTATATGTTGTTGCTTTAGAAAACAATCCAGCCCTTCTGGAAATCTACACTCCAATCTTGAAAAAAGAAAATCAGATGCACACAGAGTAAGGACACAATTTTAAAAAGAAAACTAGTTTCATGATAATTTGAAAGAGACAACAGTAGGGACAGTGAAATGAGCAGATCTAAAACACTGTGGACATCACTGGGTCCTTACCACCAGGGAGGGATGGCCAAGTAATGACAGTGTTTAATAAACTGAACTAAAAATCATGCGTTAGGGGTACCTGGGTGGCTCAGTCGGTTAAGCGTCTGCCTTCAGCTCAGGTCCTGATCCCCAGGGTCCTGGGATTGAGTCCCACATCGGGCTCCCTGCTCAGTGGGGAGTTTGCTTCTCCCTCTCCCCCTGCTCGTGCTCACTCTCTCTCAAATAAATAAAATCTTAAAAATTTAAAATAAAAATCACGCTTTAACTTCTGGATTACTGACATACGAGTGGAGTTTAAAGGTACCAAGCAAGTGAAATGCAAGCTAGTCAAATGTCAAGGGCCTAAAAGGAATTGGGGTGGGGAAGGGTGGAGAATGGCACATAGGAAACGTTTAGAGGAATTAAATAAAAGATCGGCATCTCTTGTGTCTCAAAAAACCATTTTTTCTATACAAGGTTAAACAGGTAGGTGTTCAGGATAAAGGTAGATCAGACAATAGCTCTTTTCTGCAGAACTATACAAGCTTGACTTAACAATTCTAATTTGCTCTTTCCCCGGAGAAGATAGAAAAAGGGTCAGAATAGAATCAAGTTCCCTCTACTGCCACTAAAATAATCCAGAGCAGGATATCTGCCTTACAGTCAAGTGGTTGAGTCCTGATTTTTTAGTTGCATTGCTTATATTAGCATATATAACACTGTTATCTAAGTGAGTAAACAGAAATCAATTATCAGTCTCTGGTTCTTATAGTAATCAGTTCACAGGGCCTACAAAAGCACAACCAACTCTTCTATTGGGATGATAATTGTGCTGTGGGTAAGTGAGAGTAATGGAGGAAAGCAGAATCTCTTCTTTAAACTTTTGAAGGGGATATGGTACAGTTGTTAACACTTGTACCTTCCACACATTTAATGCAGATCCTCAAAAGCAACAGTGTTGCAAGGAAGGCTATTTAAGCAATACCAAAATTCTCAAAAGGGAACTTACCAGGTTTTACTCAATTCTGCGATTCTACAGTGTATCTTTTCACTAGGAAATGACCTCAGTTAAAAGTTTCCCATTCACTCACACTCAACTGCACAACCTCCACAAGGAACTGCTGCCAATCTCATACTGCAGGTGAAGTAGGCAGGGGGTGGCATGGTAAGAGGGAAATGTGAGAAGTAAAAAGTGTAAATGCACAAAAAACGGGTTAAACATCTTGCCACAGAGCCAAGAAAACTGCCTGCACTATCTTGCTGCAGTGATTTGGGGGGTGGGGGGGTCATTTATCATGTGGTATGAATACTCAATTTTATTCTCTGGTAAAGCTTTTTTAAATTAAAATAATTTTAAATTTTTTACTGCCCCTTTTTGCTCTTAAAAGTGTTCCAATTAGAACATTTATGAGGACATCTCAAAACACCCTCCTATACCACCCAATCGGCCTGGAACTGCCCTGACAGTCTCTTAATTGTAGCAATTTTACTGATTCTTTGTCCTCAACCAGCATCCTCTTTCCAGGGATTTGGGTGAACACCCAAGCAGGTATCTCTCATCCTAGGTCCAGATCCCTACAACATCCCTCAGTGCAGAACTCACGTGGATTTGGTGGATAAAGAAGTTCTGAGCTAAAGCTGGCATTCACATCTGGGAAAGGCTAGATCAGCACTTCTCTGAAGACCCTTTCAGCAAGCCCACAGGTCAAAACTATTTTTACAATTCTAAACAGTATTTGCCTTTTTAACTCTAATTCTCTCACATTTGTACTGTGAAGTTTTTCTGAGACTACACGAGGTGTGACATGACAACAGACTGAATGCAGAAGCAGATAAAAAATCCAGTTGTCTTAAGTCAAGACGTTTAAGCAATTTGCATATATGTAAAACAGTGTCACTCTTCTAAGTGTTTTAGCTTTGGAAAACGTTATTTTCATTAAAAATGTAAACATGTTTTTGTTACTTTAAAATGAATGGTAAATATTTTTAATGTTTCAGCTTTAATCCTGAATACAGTAAAAATCCATAATAATGAGCCATATAAACAAAAGCTCTTTGGGGCCCATAATTTTTAAGAGTGCATACTGGGGTCCTAAAACAAAAAAGGTTTGAGAACAGCTAGGTAGATCAGCATAACTGGGCAACAATTTTAAAATGTATTTTACTCTTACTCCCATCTGATATTTAAAAAAAAAAAGTTTTAAACAGGAACTAGAAGCTGTTTGTCTCTCTGCCCTTCCCCCTCTCTCTGCACCTCGGAAACCCTAAAGCCCATGTAAGAAGTGTGACTACCCTGAAGCCTACCTACTGGAGAGACCATGTGGAAAGACCAAATATAAGGCATGACACCCCAGGTGTTCCAGCCCTTAGCCATTTGAGTTTTCTTGGCCCAGGCACCAGACATGCTGAGTAAAGAAGCCTTCAGATAGTTCCAGCTGCCCCAGCAGCCCCCAGATAGACCGGAGTTTGATAAATGGTGGTTGCTGTTTTACACACTACATAGTTTAGGTTGTTCTGTGAACACTCCCCGGGAATAACCCTCAACCAATAGCTGATGGTGGAATGGGATAATTCTGAGGTAAATGCTTTATCCAATTCCCCAGAGTTCCCTTTGGCAACTTTCACTGTGGGAGCTGGTACTAACAGTCTTTCCTACCCTGTCTTCCTTCCCACTTCTAACCTTTGTTCCTTACACCACTAAAAAACTACTTGTATTAGAATTCTCATCTTAAGGGTCTCTTTCTGGGGAAAGCAAAGCTGAGACACCACTGAAGTTGGACACACACAAAGGAAAAGATGAACAGATATGATTACATAAAAACAAATCTGTAAGAGAAAGATTAGAAAAGGGTGGAGGGAAGAGAACTGCAGTACATGATTAAGGGCTAATTTCTTGACTATGAAAAAAACTTGAAACATACTAATTGCAATGGATAAAGGACTCAGGCTTTTCTCAACAGAAACTCATATGGCCAATAAATTCTCAATCTTACTTAGACTCAAAGAAATGCAAATTAAACACGGAAGCACATTTACCTATCAGACTGGCAAACATTTCAAGATTTTATTTATTTATTTGACAGAGAGACAGCAGGAGAGCACAAGCAGGGGCTCAATCCAAGGACCTTGAGGATCATGACCTGAGCTGAAGGCAGACGCTTTAACTGACTGAGCCACAGGCGCCCCAAGACTGGCAAACATTTAAAAGACTGGAAATCTGTGTTAACTGTGTGATGAAATAGGCATTTTTTTCCATTGCTGGTGGGAGCGTAAATTAGTAATCACAGATTGTGATTAAGTATAATATATTCAAATATAAATCCAGTATACCCTTTGACACAGAAATTCTGCTTCTCAGAGCTTACCCTCAGGAAATAATGGACACATGCACATGGCTATAGTATCAGGATATTTAATAAGAACCTTATGTATGATGAAACAAGTTTGGAATGAACTAAACTATCAATAGGAGGGAGGTTAAACTGTGGTACAACCATACAGCAGTATTCTATGCAGCTCTTAAATGATATGAGGTATACATACTCAACAGGGTTTTTAAAAATCCACAATGTAATGTGAAGTGAAAAGGCAGATTTCACAACAGTATGGAAAAAATCTCATTTTCATTATAAGACATACAATATAACCAAACTACTGATCATGGTTATACCTGCAGGATGAGATGCAGGGGATTTATTTTATAATAACAATGTATTTCCATTCTTAAGAATATAACAAAGGGTAGAAGAAATGGAATAAAATTCACCTAGTGATAGAGAAAGTCAACTAAGAGAGAAAGAAAAGTAACTGTGCTTACCCTGGTAAGGAGGGTTTTTGACTGGAAAGCCAGGCTTTTAAACTTGCGGGGATGCAGGATACTCAATCTAGGCAATTTAAGCCCAGTTTTCATAGACTGGTTTAGAACAAAGTTGCTAAGGGTCTCAGAGGGGTGACTTTTGACAAGTTCACTCCTGCCTGTCAGGGCCCAAATACGTTTTCAACAGTGACCCAGTGATTTACTGCCATCTTTGGGTGAAGATCTAAAACAGTCATTCACAGAAAATGAGTAATACTGCTCCCATCCCCAACTTAGAGCCCCGTGAAAGCCATCAGTAACTATATGGGGTTAAGGTGTCCTATGGGCCCACTGAAGGACAGATTTGGCCCTACTACTATAAAAGCTTCCACTGACAGTATCGCTCTTTCCTGCCATCTCCTCCCTCCTCTCTTCAATTCAGGCCCTCTCTCCTAACCTCTTTTTTCTACCATGCTCCACATAGGGTGCTGACAGACTGAACCCAGGGAGAGACTGCAAACCCTCCAACAGCATAAAAGCAAAGGAGCTCAAGTTTATACAACAACAGCACACAAGTATTTTTCAAAACAAGGCGGAGGGATCGGACAGCCTACTCAGCAGACACACCCACCAAATACCAACAGTTAGCTAAGATGATCTGTTCAATGACTAATAGTCAAGATATCTAACCGTCAATTTATCTAATAGTTAATTAAAACATGAAACATTTGAAGTGGGTGGACTTAACTGCAGGTAAATTGTGCCTTAAAAAGTAGGTAAAGCAGAAAAATACCCTAACATTTGCTGAGAAATTTATCATTTTTAACCATTCTTTCATAAACTTTTTAACCTTTACTCAAATCCTTTGTATCAGGAGAGGTAACATTATTCCCATATTATTTTTTTTTTTAAAGATTTAATTTATTTGAGAGAGAAAAAGAGAGAGAGCACAGAGGGAGAGGGAGAAGCAGACTCCCTCCTGAGCAGAGGGCCCAAGGCAACCAAAGGCACTTAACTGACTGAGCCACCCAGGCACCCCTCGTTATTCCTATTTTAAAGATGGGGAAGCATTCAGAAGGTTAAGTGATGGG